ATCCCCTTTTACTAAAATACAAACTGAAATGTTTAATTTATCTTAGAACTAAAGATTTAAATCAAGCCTAGATATCAGGGTGGACAGTGATTAAAATAAGTAATAATAAAATAGGGACATAATTAATTAAAGTCTATTTGCTTCATTAGACTTTAGGGAGGCACTCTAGGGCCACCTACTGGCCATCTTCGGGAGTTACATTGATAATACATTGTTTATAACAGACAGAAGTAGGATTGCTTATCCTATTTTAATATATTTATTGCTATAAGGTTTTATTTTATGTATAAATATATTAAAAGTTAAGTTTTATTATTAGACCCATAAAGATTATTTTGATACAATTACCCTCTGGTGACACCTACTTGTAGGTTTTTGGTTTAACACTTTAAAAAAAAACGTTTTTTCATCCACCAAATGCTGACTAATAAAATTAGCTCACCCCCTTACACCTATCTTACTACTCCCAGACTGGAACCTATTATTGCAAAAGAAAAAAGAGAGGGGGTGTGCCAGCGCTAAATATTCCCCAACCAGTGAACTGTGTTCCAAATAACTTAAGTAGCTGCTATCACACCAAATTCTTATCTTACAAGAATAGGAACCCAAAGAACTTTTGTGGTGTAGCGCTATATTTAAATAGAAGGGTAGTAATAAAGACTAGGTATATATCAATACTACCTTGAAATTCCTTATGTCTTTATATTCACATAAGAGTATAAATTCTACAAGACATAAAAAACAGACAAACCAAACATAGTGCAAACTGTATAATAAAGTCCGTTATAGAGAATTAGGAAGGGAAAATTTCCCACTCACAATTTTAGGAGCTAATATGAAATAGCTCAATATCTGCGCTCTTGGGGTCCGTAAAGGCGACCCTCACCCTTCTTGTGTATAGACCTCCTTGATTTCCTATAGAAGTAGAAACCGTATATGGTGCAGTATCGTAATAATTATCAATGTGAGATAAATATAAAATGTAATACTCACAAAATTAGAGCCATCCAGATCGGCTCTAATCCACACACTTGTGTAGTTGAGGACTACACACCTTCTTTGTGAAAAATGAATAAAAAGTAGCAGGGAAATGCCAATATATAGTATAAAAGATAAATAATTTTATTATAACGGTAATTGTATAAAAATAATATATATATATATATATATAAAAAACAATAAAAAACAATATCAAATTGGCATAAAATCCAAAAGTCCAAAGTCTCACAGTCTCTCCAGTACGCGTTTCGCCCTACAGGCTTCCTCAGCTGGATGTGGTGATTCAAACTTCCCATGGATTCTCCCTGCTATATGTACCCCTCTCAGGGGTGAGGTAATTAGTGTCCAGGCTTGTATTTTCGCGGGCAATTACCATAGAAACGGTGACGCCCTGCGTTTCAAGCCTTTTTTCTATTCATTTCCGGGTTTTCTGTTCCGTTGCGTCACTTCCGGTTTCGCCGATACGTCACTTCCTTGCGTTCCACCATGCGGTTCACTGTGCGTTCCACCATGCGGTTCACCATTTATTTCCCCAGGATTTCCGGGTCGGCGGTTTTTGAAGGGAAATATAAGTTCAAATGAATTTAACATATCTGTGGAATTGGCAAGCTTTCTTTGTCTAACATATACAAGCCTTATATTGGTACATCCAAACCCTTCATAATTAAATTTCATTCTGTAGTGTTTTTTTCCTTCTATTCCTATTTCTTGTATAAGTGTATTAATATAAAATGACCATTTTACAGGCATATTGTGATCTTATGTCATTATTAAAAAGATGAATTCTTAAGAGATAATGGGTATTAATAAATGAATACGTGGTTATACAATTAAAACACCTTATAAATGTCTAATTCCAGATATTATAAAAGTTGAAACATAATTCAGTCAATGCTCACATAGTAATAAGAAAGTAATAATTCAATAAAGGGAGGTATGAGTGCAACCATAAAATAATTTTGCATTTATTTTAAAAAATGGCACATCTCGAAGTCTGCATTTAGACCATTCGGGATTAAAGTATTTAATTTAAAGATCCACTCCATTTCTATTTTACTCATTTTGCTATCAAAGTTGCCTCCCCTCCAATCCTTTTTGACTTTTATAATTCCTAAAAACGTAGTGTCTTTCATGTCGCATTTATGTGCAATTTTGTAGTGTAAAGAGACGCTATGTTTTTCAAAACCTTTTAAAATATTACGACTATGTTCTTCAATTCTGATATGTAGGGGTCTGGTGGTTTTCCCTATATAACATAGACCACAAGGGCAGATCATTAAGTAAATGAGGTTTTTTGAGTGGCAACTCAGAAAATCTTTAATTTGATATTCTTTACCATCTTTATCTTTAAAAAGCTTTATATGTCTTTTTTTATTATTTGACCTTTTGCACGCTAAGCATTGGCCACATCCAAAAAATCCCTTATCCGAATTTAAAAAAGTATTCGTACTTTTCTTTTCCTTTAAAAAGCTTGAAGTCAAAGAATGGCGTAAATTGTCAACCCCTCTGTGTATAAATTTAGGTCTTTCTGGAAGAAAAGGTTTTACACCTGGATCTTGTAATAAAATTGGCCAGAACTTAGAGATTATTTTTCTTACTTTTTTGTTATCTGTGCTGAAGTTGCATATAAAAGGGAGTTCCATAAATGTATTTTCCCTTTTATCCTTATATTTCAAAAGTTTCTCTCTTTCTATCATTCTTACTTCTTTCCTGGCCATTTCTAATTTTAACTCTTCATATCCTTTCTCTATAAAATCTTCTTTAATTTTAATAGATTGGGTCTCAAATACAGTTGGATCCGTACAATTACGCCTAATACGTAGAAACTGTCCTCTGGGGGCATTGAATTATTACTTTCTTATTACTATGTGAGCATTGACTGAATTATGTTTCAACTTTTATAATATCTGGAATTAGACATTTATAAGGTGTTTTAATTGTATAACCACGTATTCATTTATTAATACCCATTATCTCTTAAGAATTCATCTTTTTAATAATGACATAAGATCACAATATGCCTGTAAAATGGTCATTTTATATTAATACACTTATACAAGAAATAGGAATAGAAGGAAAAAAACACTACAGAATGAAATTTAATTATGAAGGGTTTGGATGTACCAATATAAGGCTTGTATATGTTAGACAAAGAAAGCTTGCCAATTCCACAGATATGTTAAATTCATTTGAACTTATATTTCCCTTCAAAAACCGCCGACCCGGAAATCCTGGGGAAATAAATGGTGAACCGCATGGTGGAACGCAAGGAAGTGACGTATCGGCGAAACCGGAAGTGACGCAACGGAACAGAAAACCCGGAAATGAATAGAAAAAAGGCTTGAAACGCAGGGCGTCACCGTTTCTATGGTAATTGCCCGCGAAAATACAAGCCTGGACACTAATTACCTCACCCCTGAGAGGGGTACATATAGCAGGGAGAATCCATGGGAAGTTTGAATCACCACATCCAGCTGAGGAAGCCTGTAGGGCGAAACGCGTACTGGAGAGACTGTGAGACTTTGGACTTTTGGATTTTATGCCAATTTGATATTGTTTTTTATTGTTTTTTATATATATATATATATATTTTTATACAATTACCGTTATAATAAAATTATTTATCTTTTATACTATATATTGGCATTTCCCTGCTACTTTTTATTCATTTTTCACAAAGAAGGTGTGTAGTCCTCAACTACACAAGTGTGTGGATTAGAGCCGATCTGGATGGCTCTAATTTTGTGAGTATTACATTTTATATTTATCTCACATTGATAATTATTACGATACTGCACCATATACGGTTTCTACTTCTATAGGAAATCAAGGAGATCTATACACAAGAAGGGTGAGGGTCGCCTTTACGGACCCCAAGAGCACAGATATTGAGCTATTTCATATTAGCTCCTAAAATTGTGAGTGGGAAATTTTCCCTTCCTAATTCTCTATAACGGACTTTATTATACAGTTTGCACTATGTTTGGTTTGTCTGTTTTTTATGTCTTGTAGAATTTATACTCTTATGTGAATATAAAGACATAAGGAATTTCAAGGTAGTATTGATATATACCTAGTCTTTATTACTACCCTTCTATTTAAATATAGCGCTACACCACAAAAGTTTTTTGGAACCTATTATTGAGCAGTCTTGCTGAAGTCCCATATTAACCCGACAACTGACTGGTGCCCTCCAACCTAGACATTACCAAATGCCCCTCAGACTTACACCAGGCCCAACACACGTGGGTGAGAATGGCCAAATACAACAGGCAGATCCAGTGTTTGTATATGTCCCCTTCACTATGACTGATTTATTTAACTGGAAGACTCATAACTCTTCATATACTGACAAACCTTAAGTTATGACAGATTTGGTTACTTCTATTATCCAAATGTCGATCCAAATTGGAACGTGAATGGTGCTGACATGCCCCAACTAAGAGCTTATTGGGAAGCCATAATTGCTGGCATGAAGGCAGGAGGGAAGAAGGCAATTAATATGTCAAAGACGGCTGAGGTGTTGCAAAAGGTTGATGAGTCACCTAGTGCTTTTTATGAGAGACTGCTTGAGTCAAATAGATTGTACACTCCTTTCAATCCTGAAGCCCCTGAAAACTTCCAAATGATAGACTCAGTATTTGTCAGCCAGGCCCAAGGTGATATTAAAAGGAAATTACAGAAATTAGAGGGATTTGTAGGGATGTCCATATTACAGCTAATGGAGATTGCAAATAAAGTATATATGAATAGGGAGACTGAGGTAAAGCGGGAGGTAGTACGTAAGATGAGGAAAAAGGCAGATATGCTAGCGGTAGCTATCTCAAGTGTAGAAAGACAGGGAAGTGAATAGAGGAGACGAGAATAGGCTGAGCAAGGGACCTTTAAGTAGGAATCAATGTGCGTATTGTAGAAAGGAGGGACATTGGAAGAGTGAGTGTCCACAGAGAGAGCAGTAGACCGGTTCTTAAGAGTCGCACTTGTATTCTGGGAGGCCATGTGGTAAAGCATTAGTTCCTATATATGCCAGTGTGTCCGATTCAACTTTTAGGACGAGATCTATTATAGAAGCTTTAAGCTCAGATAACCTTTTTACCTAATGGATCAACATCTCTGAAGTTTAAGGGATTACCAGGCATAATGGCGATATCGGTGCCGAGGGAAGAAGAATGACGCTTCTATTCCATAGTGACAAGTGTTAACCCTAAGAGTGATGAATCCTTATTTGACATTCCAGGAGTATGGGAAGAAAATAATCCTCCAGGACTTGCTCGTAATATCCCACCAATACATATTGAGTTAAAGCTCGGGGTGTATCCTGTTAGCCTTTGTATGTTGTTCTTTTATCTACCCCAACAGCTGTAAAGGTGGCCGAAGTGAGTCCTTGGATTCATCATTCTAAGATTAAACCAGCGGCAGACTCTTGGCAAGCTACTCCGGATCCTGAGAATCCTTGCAAGACCCGGTTGAAGCGTGCAACTCAGTCGGAGTGACGAGGGGATATTGAGACATTCTAGTTAAAAGTCTACAGAGATCATCAAGTAGGTGTTTTGACGGCCATAATAAAGCCTGACCACCTGCCATAGCCAGAGTATCTCGAAGGGATCTCTGTGAAGGAAAGTGAGGATCAGAAGAACAACATCCTTGCAGCCCTCACAATCGGGAAGCTGGGAGGCCATCGCACGGTCGAAGAAAAATGAGGATTTCAGGAATAATGTGTCTTAGTATTTTTATGATTTTTCAGGAAAGTAGGAGTACAGACATACCGAATTGCGATAGTTGCATTAAGACTACTAAAACAGGTAACCAAATATCCCAAACTCTCATCTGGCACTCACAGTATGAATGTAAGGGATCTGTATCTAAATGTAGATATTTGGATATTGATTATAGTGTGTGCAAGCCAATATCAGGAGAGTCTAAATGTTTTGATCCCCAATTCCAACCCCGTACAATTTGGTTGGTAATTCGGAATAGTAACTCCCAGGGGACATTAATAAATAGGACTGTGATAAGCACCATACATTCCACAGGTATTCTATTATTTGATGCATGTAAGGCGATCTAGGGTAGTGGAAGACCTTGGAATGTATGTGGTAATCTTAAATGGGAACGAACTTATGGGTTTAATGATAAATACTTATGTCCCAGTAAAAGATCTACTGATCCTGATTGCCCAAATAGAGATTATAATTTTTGTCCCTATTGGTCTTGTGTAGGTTGGGCAACCTGGGAAAAGCAGTGGATCAAGATATGATTATCCAAAGGTTGCCTACCACACCATACTGTAAAACTATGTGTGTAACCCCGTTCACATGACCATTTCCAATCTGTAGCACTTTATTGACAGGTTCGGAGGTCTGTTTGGGTTCCAAATATATATGGCACAGGAGTAGATCCAGGAACAATAATATATGTAGGTCTTGAAACTGAGACAGTGGAAACTCAAACTCATCAGGTTTCTCATTCCTTCTATGAGGAGATGAGTGTTGAGGATAAAATTCCCCATAATATTAAGAACCTATTTATTGATTTGGCTGAGGGTATTGCAGGTAGTCTTAATGTAACTAATTGCTATGTCTGTGGAGGTACTAATATGGGAGACCAGTGGCAATGGGAGGCAAAGGAAATATGGTACCCTGGCTCTGAGACATATGAACAACAGATATCTTTCCAGTCTGATCATCAAGTAAGTACTAGAAGTAAATCGGAATGGTGGTTAAAAACCTCCATTATAGGTCATGTTTGTATAGCCAGGAAAGGGACAATGTATAACACGTCTGTAGGTGAGCTAACTTGCTTGGGACAAAAAGCCTATAATGTTAATACTAAAAATACTACTTGGTGGTCAGCTTCAAATGTCTCGGAACCTACTAATCAGTTTGCCAATTACACTCATTTAAAGGAGGTATGGTTTGACTTATCGGCTACATCTAGTTGGAAAGCCCCAGCAAATTTACACTGGATTTGTGGTAAGAAAACTTATTCAGAGTTACCACAAGATTGGGAAGGGGCATGTGTATTAGGTATGCCAAAGCCATCCTTAGCTCACCTACAGACGTGTTATACATTGTCCCTTTCCTGGCTATACAAACATGACCTATAATGGAGGTTTTTAACCACCATTCCGATTTACTTCTAGTACTTACTTGATGATCAGACTGGAAAGGTATCTGTTGTTCATATGTCTCAGAGCCAGGGTACCATATTTCCTTTGCCTCCAGCATGGTCAAAATTTAGTAGGCCAAAATCTCCATGTGGCATATGTGTATGTTGTGTCAGTTAGTTAGCTACACGTAGCTAGGATACTGTCATCAGTGTACTGAGCATGTGCAGGAATGCAGGAACTGAAATTGCACTTATTTCCTTTGTCTTGGATGAGCCATGTGGTTTGACTAGATGTACAAGTCTATATTCTGCTCATTGATTGGTTAAAGGTATATGTGGGTGTAGCCATTAATGGGAGGAGTTATAGTGCTATATAAGGAATGTACACTATGTGTTGGTCTCTCAGAATGTTGGAACAGGAGTTCATCTGAGACCTGATCGGTAATGTGAATAAAGGCCTCTTACTTCCTGAAGATTTGTGTCCATATCTCTGTGTTTGGCTTCTGCATGCTTACACTGCAACAATACAATGTACACAGGATATAGTAAAGAAAAATAAAATAAATGTACAGGGTGGTTAAGTTAAAAATAAATGAAGGTGTGCAGGATAGAGTCTTAGTGTGGTCTTCCAGAAGGCTACCTTTGCAGACGATCAGGCTTGCTCACTGAAGGAATGGGCTTGCAAAGTTGGGGAATCAAGCTGTTGAGGAAAGAGATGTGAGGGTCAGAAAGCTTGCAATAAAGGTAAGGGAGGGGGAAATGTATCTAGGTACAGAGATGAAGAGATGGATATTCAAATAAAAACAAACATATCAATAAGAAAAGGGAGGGGTCAGAGGTCAGTCACAAATCAGAGGGGAAATAGAGGAATGCATATAGGTGAATAAAACAATTACATACAGGGCTAGCAAAATTACACTTTAGCATAAAATACAAGATATAAATACGAAAAAACAAGTAAATATACAATGTACACAGGGTATATTAAAAAATAAATAAAATAAATGTACAGGGTGGTTAAGTTAAAAATATATGAAGGTGTGCAGGATAGAGTCTTATAGTGGTCTTCCAGAAGGCTACCTTTGCAGACGATCAGGCTTGCTCACTGAAGGAATGGGCTTGCAAAGTTGGGGAATCAGGCTTTGCAGACGATCAGGCTTGCAAAGTTGGGGAATCAGGCTTTGCAGACGATCAGGCTTGCTCACTGAAGGAATGGGCTTGCAAAGTTGGGGAATCAGGCTTTGCAGACGATCAGGCTTGCTCACTGAAGGAATGAGCTTGCAAAGTTGGGGAATCAGGCTTTGCAGACGATCAGGCTGGCTCACTGAAGGAATGGGCTTGCAAAGTTGGGGAATCAGGCTTTGCAGACGATCAGGCTTGCTCACTGAAGGAATGGGCTTGCAAAGTTGGGGAATCAGGCTTTGCAGACGATCAGGCTTGCTCACTGAAGGAATGGGCTTGCATAGTTGGAGAATCAGGCTTTGCAGACGATCAGGCTTGCTCACTGAAGGAATGGGCTTGCAAAGTTGAGGAATCAGGCTTTGCAGACGATCAGGCTTGCTCACTGAAGGAATGGGCTTGCAAAGTTGGGGAATCAGGCTTTGCAGATGATCAGGCTTGCTCACTGAAGGAATGGGCTTGCAAAGTTGGGGAATCAGTAAATCAGTAATGAATAGTGTAAATAATATATTCGGTAAGTAAGAAAATAATGTAATATTCAGAATTATCTGTTGTGTCAGTGGGTTACAAATTAACCACAGTGGGGGGGGGGGCAACAGGGCAATTGCCCCCCTGAGATTCTCATCTGCTGGCGAATGCAGGGCTGGCATTATTCAAGTGCCAGCCCTGCAATGTGCTGGCAGCCGGCAAGGGAGGGAGATGGGGGAGAGAGGACCCGGGAGCTCAGCCTGCAGCTCCTCCGGTTACCACGGCAATGCTCCAAATCTCGCGAGAGTGAACGCCAGACCTGTAGCTGGGACCACCAGGGAATCCCCACAGACCACTAGGGATCCACAAATGTTCTCCCTCCTCCCAGTAAAGGTAAGAAGGGAGGGGGGACATAATGTATATTTATATTATTAAATAAAAAAAAAATTAAAAAGCCTCCCTACCCTCCTCTCCCCATGCACACACTGCCCCACACACACATTGCCCCCCATACACACGACCCCATACATAAATTGCCCCACAGAGACATACAGTGCCCCCTACACACTGCTACCCCCCATACACACAGTGCCCCACACACACTGCTACCCCCCCATACACACACTGCCCCACACATACATACAGTGCTCCCCCATACACACACTGCCCCACACATACATACAGTGCTCCTCATACACACACACTGTCACACACACACACATTGCCCCCATACACACGTACACTGCCCCCATACACACACTTCCCCACACATACAGTGCTCCCCCATACACACACTGCCCCACACATACATACAGTGCTCCCCATACACACACTGCCACACATACACACATTGCCCCCCATACACATGTACACTGCCCCCATACACACATTGCCCCCCGATACACACACTGCCCCACAAACACACACACACACACATAGCAGTGAGTTCAAACTGCTGATCGAGACTTAGTCTCTGCGGCTTCAAACTTAGTGTAGGAGAAGGTAGGGGTCAACGGTGTTCGTCTAAATGTGTAGCCGATTTCAGTTCCATAAATTTGGCTACACATACCACTGACCTTGTTCGAATGAACAAAGATGGCCGCCGCCACGTGTTGGTTTGCATGAACTGCGGCCACCCAGCGGTCGACAATTTACCTACAGCAGGCTCCCAGCTTGGGAGGTAAATTGCCTGCACACTTCCACTTCTGGGTGGTCCGCCTGTGTGGTACTTGGTTCAGTAAGCCCCATTTACTGAACCAAGTGGAAAATAGCAATGAACAAAGGATTTCAACCAAGTCTGGGGACACAGGCTTAAAGGGGCAGTGTCCCAAACAAGTCTGGGGACACCGTCTTAAAGGGGCATTGTCCCAACGGGACTTAGTCTCTGCATACACACACTGCCCCAAACACACATACAGTGCCCCCATACACACACTGCCCCAAACACACATACACTGCAAGCCTCACACACACACACTTCAACTCTCACACACACTGCCCTCTCACACACACACTGCAGTTCTCTCACACACACACTGTCCCACACATACACTGCAACCCTGA